CTCGCGGGCTTCAACCGCCGGCCACCGTCCACACGGTGCGGCTTCAGGAAGACCCACCGCGCCCTGTTCTTCCTTTTCACTCGCTCCTGCTGGAAGGAACGGGTTATCCCAGCGGGGCACCGCCTCGACGGGGAGGACGCGAAGGAGAATCACCGGGGCCCAGCCAGAGCTAGAACTACGTTACCCATGAGACTCTCTGCCCTAACCCGCTGATTGCATAGATTTGTGTATAGACTCGTGCGTAGCATGTAGCTTCCGGTTTAATTTCATACAATTGTATGGCAGAAAACAGCGGAAAACTCTGCATTCTGATTCAGTTGTGATCGGACAGAAAAAGCAGCATATTTTCTCCACCCCCAAGTCTGAATGCTTGTGGTGGTTCCCCCCCACCGCACTTAATCAGCGGGGCGTGAGACCTCTGAATTCCGTTCAGCGCTAGAATTGGGCTGGCCGAGGATTCCAGGGCGGATTTACACTCAAACTGGATTCTGCATGGGAAACTTGCTACTGTAAAGCAAGCCAGGCTCATCAGTGATGTATAAGCAGTCGGGTTGAGGCTGGATTAACAGGCAGAATGCTGTCATACAAACTCCTTCCTGGCTGTAACAGGAACACACATTAAAAAAAAAAGCAGCGTTGGATTCTCAGTAGTGTCTTACTGATTTTTCTGTACACTGATGCTTTATATACAATAATGATTCACTTCAAACTGGAATAGCTCTGCTCCATTTACATTTTCCTATTTGGTTTGAGTGAACGAGAAACTTGGATTCTGCTGCAGGATCTTCAGCCCAGTACATGTAATTTTTACGTTTAAAGACTGAAATGCAAGATATATAATAGCTGTTTTGATACCTAGCAAGGGGAATTTAAGAACAGTTAGATGTACCGGTGTGTGTGTGTGTTTTCCGCAAAATAAATCTTGAACAGGAAAACGGATGACCTCTGCGCTGACCTTTGCGCTACTACCAAATCAAAACAATAGTTAAGTTTTAGATTTCTCCATCGTTTTCTAATGGTGGCTTTCTCTTTCTTTCTGCTGGTAAGTAAGGAAAACGGGCGACAAAGAAACTAGCAGGTCTCATCCGGGGAGAATCGCTATTCTAATTTTCCTACTTCTATAATATTGCTAATGCCCGGGCATGTTGTTGCTTCCCACAATGCACCACCACCTCCCCTTCACTACATTTCCCACGACGCATCGCAGCCAGAGGCCAGAGAACTACAATCCCCAGAAGGCGCAGAAGCCGGGTGAGAGGCAGACGCCGGCTAGGTGGTCCGGCGCTCTGATCCCCCTGCCCCTCGTGCGTGGCGCTCGGGGGTCGCAGAGCAGCGGAGCGACGGGCGAAGGCTGGTTTGGGCAGGCGGTCTAAAGGCGCGGCGCCGTCTGCTCCGATGGAGGAGGGCTGAGGGCGGGCTGAGGGAGATCCCATTGGGCACCTGAGAGCAGGAGGAAGGGCGGGGAGGGGGCTCGGCGATGGGACGTGGCTTGGACGCTCCCAGGTGAGGCGATGTTACTCGGCCGTCGGCGGAGCTTCCGGGGCAAGGGAGGGGGCCCAGGCTGCCGACACGTCCTGACTCTCCCTCGGCAAGGTAGACGGGTGCAAATAGAGAGCCAGGTCAGGCTTGAGGGGTGAAGAAGGGTGAGGGGCACCATCAGGGTGCTTCTGTGGGAGGGAGGGGTCGGGGGGCTCCTGCTTCGTTTTAGTTGGGGCGGTGCGGGGGAGGTTAGAGGTGAAACAGGCGAAGGAATTCTTGAACGACCCTCCCTTTTTTCATCTTTGCTAGAAACTGGCAAACAGCAAGTCTGCGGCCGCCGCTTTTTTTCTCCCCTTCACATATGCCCAGGTGAGGTAAAGGAGGCTTCTTTAAGCTGGTTTCTGCTTGAACCGGAAACTACCAGGACCATGGTGATAAACTGATCCTCAGAGACAATGGAGGGATCACTACAGCAGTTTTGCTCCCATTCACCACACTTAGGAGGTTGTGGGAGAAATGCCTCCTGAGCAGCCTTCCCCATTGTGGTGTTTTTCAAGTACCTTGGTCAACAATTCTTATCTTCCTCAACTGCTGGCTGTGGGGATGGCAGGCCAATCTGTTTAAAAGGCACCAGGATGGAAAAGGCTAGTTTTAGGTCTTACACATGCTTCTGTACTGTATTGTCCTTCAAGTAAATAACATTTTCTATCTTATAGGGCCATCAATATTAAAAAGGCAAGAAGTCTATCATCTTAATGATTCTTTAAACGAGATATATACATATACACCTACTGATTCATCTCTGGCATAAACTGTTTGCTTTAACCAGTGTTCTAATGAAGATTTCACAAATGCCATTTGTAGTATAATGGATTTACTGCATCAACATCTGCAGAAGCAACTTAAGCTTAGATCCTGATTCTGTTAAGCAGATAGCTGTGCAAGCAACTATCAAAGTTAATCAGTAGCAGCTGGCATTCCATAATTTTGAAGAGGCTGCTGAGATAAGTCACAGCCCAATCTATTCTTGCTCTTTTTCTAGTGTTTGCAAGATTAGTAGTGAGGATGGTTAAGATTGTGGTCTTGCTTGAAGACAGTTCTTGTATGCTAGCATTTAAAATGTATTATGAAGAGTGTATATAAAGTATAATCGGTTATGAATTGAAGAAGAAAGCCATACCTTAGCCATCAGCTAAAAGGCTAACAAATGTGTACTCTAGAAGGACTAAACATACCTGGAATATAAACACTTACTGAAGTATAGTCACTATGGGGAACAGCATAGTAGATGGGCAGAAGGCAACATCAGCGATAATCCAGGGTAAAATTTGAAGTGCGCATTAGAAGCATCTTCAAAGCCATACTCTGAGGCATGGGCATCAGCAGAAGTGGGGGCAAGTAATGCAATCTGCTTTGTAATGCAAATTCTGCCCCTTAGTATTTGTGTGCAAAAGGGCACAGCTTGCACTGTGTCATCATCATAATGCCCATTTCACTATTTTGGCATCAGCATGGCTAGTTATAGGCACCTCTGTCAGGAGTCCACAAAGCATGTCTGTGGAGGTCTCTGTGTTTTCAATGATGTGTATAAGAAAGAGTTGTGGGGAAGATGATCTTGAATAGAAAGGTAAGAATGTCATAACCACTATCCCTGCTTTAAAACAAATCCAAGTGTTTTGATTATATACTTCCCCTCTCAGCTGTGCCACTGAACATTGCAGGAGGTAAACTGAGGCTAGAAATTTTTATTAAACGCACTGTAGAACAAGGAGATCTTGAAGGTATTGTTTCAGTGGATTGACAAATACAAAGAAGGAGACTGTTAAGGAGAAATGTGAACTGTGATAGCCAAAAGAAAACCATCTGATAAAAGTAATGAAGGCAAGAATAGGATAAGAAAAAGAAATATGAGAAACAAGTTAGTATGGAATAGTTGGATAGGATGAGAACATGATAGGAGATGGCAACAGGGAATTTAAATGCAAGAACTATACACTTTAAATTAGTCTGTGTGTGTGTGCGCATGTGTGTATTGGCCTTAAATAGACTACATTTGGGGATAGTGGGTACATTTGGGATTTTGAGAATATGCTATGCGTTGATAATATGGAATTGTAGGGCTTGCCTATTAACTTTATGACTGTGATAGTGAACATTTACCAGGAGGCAAAATGGTGAGATTGCTCCCTTCTGTACCCCACTCCCCAGCCTAAAGGTGGTCATTATCATTCCAATTCACTTATGTTTTGTTTTGCATTTCTGGCCAGGTGGGCACGCTTCTGAACAAAGCAGAGTGATCCACCATTTTTGATTTTCCAAGCAAGCCTGTCAGGCTTAGAAGCATTTTTATAAACAAATATGATACCAGAGCCTGAATAGAGAGCCAGTTTGGTCTAGTGGTTAAGGCTCCAGGCTAGAAACCAGGAGACTATGAATTCTAGTCCTGCCTTAGGCATGAAAGCCGGCTGAGTGACTTTGGGCCAGTCATTCTCTCTCAGCCCATGACATCAGGCTCAGGTGACAAGCCAGTCAGTCAGTTCCTGTCGCAACCAATGGAAAGCGGACCCTGCACCTGCAGGAAAACACTAGGAAGGGGGAAAAAATGATACTACAGCCTGGCGCTCTGCTTTGTAGCATGCCAACTTCTCATTTGATTTTTATTTCAATCAATGTTCTTTCAAAAAATGTCAGGGGAAGTGCTGGGGGGATTGCATACAGGTATTATGTTACTTACAGTACTCCTGAATTGAGGAGAGACCTAATAAAATTGCAATGACTGAGTAAGATTTGAAAACAGAATCAGGCAGAGTTTTATTCTGGAAGCCCAGCAATGGGAAATACTGTTTTAGATATCAAGGGTTACATTCCATTTGTGTAATCAGTTAATAGCCAGCATTGTGGGTAAGGCTAGAGCTAAAATTCACTCTGACTGGATCCAGAAGCAGCAACACCCTTTTTCTTTGTTTGCTTAGCTCTTATACTTTGTTTGCAAAACCACCTTTATAGATAGAAAAGACTAGAGGTTTATTAATTAAAATATTGGAAAGTGGAAGAGAAGGAAAAGGAGTATGAGAGGAATAGAAAAGGAGAAACAAGAACCCTGTGGGGTATGTGTTTGATGGCAGAAAGAAGTGCAGAGGGAACCTTTATGTAGATGATTAGATTATTTTTTGGTGAGGAACTTTATTGTACTTGGAAATATGTATAAAAAGGAGTGTTATTTTTTTAAAGAAAACTTTGGATTTTAATTATTGTACGAAGTTAACCATTTTATTTTTATTGTTTTAAAATACAGCACTGGGACTGTCAGTTATCCACATAAGAACAACCAACCATATCTAAGGGAAAGAGATTAGGATATTCTTCAGTTCAGTTCATCTTTTCAGTTTGAAAGATGTTAACTGGTGCTATATGTTGGAGCAAACACAGGCAAAGAAAGAAGATGTTTTTAATGCAAAGCAATTTAAATGTGAACAAAGAAGACCCTAACCTAGTTTATCCTTATGTTTGCCAAAGTTTGAATTAATACTTAATTCAGAGGTCCTACTGTATATTATAGAGAAACACTCATTTTTATGAAGTGCTCATACTGTATGTATATTTGAAATGCAAAAGGTTTATGATAGAAAATTTGGTATATTTTCTAAGTGGCATTCCACAGCTTGTAATAAAAACTGGACAATGAGAGTAACTGGATTTATTTCACTATGGGTACTGGCCTTACTGCTTTGCTGTCAACTAATAACCCGTGCAGAACATGAGGACATAGTGAAACATGCAATAAAGCTGCACCGTGGAAAAGGAGTTGCTGTTACTCAAAAGAAACAGTGGCTCATAGAAAACTGCAGAAAATTATCTGGACTTCTACATCAGAAGAATGTGGTTCTCAACAAACTGAAAAGTGCAATAAGAGCAGTGGAAAAGGATCCAGGATTATCATTTGAAGAGAGGACTTTTCAGGTTCATACATTCGAAATTTTTCAGAAAGAACTAAATGAAAGTGAAAACTCAGTCTTTCAAGCAATCTATGGGCTCCAAAGAGCTCTGCAAGGTGATTACAAAGATGTAGTGAACATGAAAGAAAGTAGTCGGCAGCGGTTGGAAGCCTTGAGAGAGGCTGCAATAAAGGTAAACTCTTTGAGGGCTCAAACTGTAACTTTTTACAAAGCTAAAACATGACGAAATAGCTAAACTCAAAGTGGAAGATATTACTCCCTTGTATACCCAACATTCAACATTGCATTCCTTTGAGAAAAGCTGGGTAGGGTGGAATGATTACAAATTTTTTAGTTCTACTACCTGAAAGAATTCTATTCAATTTCAGTTAGCACAACCCAACACATCCTTCATTCTGTCTTTTCTGGCTTGGCAGAGGAAGGAAGCATCTTCCCCTCACATTCATGCATCAGTCTACAGAATAATGGTTTGCTAGGCTACATGATTTGTCATAGCCTAGTTCAGTGTCTCATGGTCTAGCCTATCTCCCACAGCTGTGTTTATACAACACAATAAAAGTATACAAGCCAAGCTGAGTTGCTTTGAGGGAAGAGTAGAATACAAATATAGTACATACAGGCAGTGCTTAGAAGTAAGAATACATCGGTGTGCAAGGTTTTTTTTTCCTATTCCAAATTAGCTCTTTCTCATCTTTAAAATGATACTTTAAAAATGTAAACTGTCACTCAGTTTTATTGAAGAGCTTGTTGCCAATAATAGCTGAAGGCACAGAAAAAGCTTTGCTCAGATTTTTCAGAAGTTATTTGAGTAAAGTCACAATTCGACAAAGCATTTTGATTTTTGAGTAAGTATTCCACCTTTTAATATATTTTAACAGGAGGAAACAGAATATGTTGAACTTCTAGCAGCAGAGAAGCATCAAGCTGAAGCCCTGAAAAACATGCAGCATCAAAATAAAAGTCTTTCTATTCTTGATGAGATTCTTGAAGATGTAAGAAAAGCAGCTGATCGGCTAGAAGAGGAAATAGGAGAGCATGCCTTTGATGACAACAAGTCAGTAAGTTTATTTAGAGTCTGTCTTTGTAGCTGTTAATGAGATAATTTATATTTTCTCATAAGTTTTTTTTTCCCAAACAAAGTTGTTTGTGAAAGAAAAACTAAAAGCAATTATTCCATCCCTTGTTGGAATGTAAGTTTTAAAGACTATGGAGTGGGGAGGAATCCAAGAAGACAAAATATATTTTAGTACTAAGAGAAAACAGGCAAGTAGTACAAAGTAGCATATCTTCATTATTCTGTATAGCTGTAAAAAATTAAAGTAGCACAGTTAGATATCATAAGGATGAGAATATAAACAGTAACATAATAGATATTCAACGGTAATGTTACAGACTGGAATATGGTAAAGCAATATAAATCCCAAATATAGAGTCTGCAGTGATTGTGGTTATATATTGTTGAAAATTATTGCACCCTAAAGTGATAGATTTATATAGTTTGCATACATTAATAGTTTTGACTGATTTTCCTTTTTTAAAAATCCTCAGAAGACAATATGGCAAAGGGATTTTTAAAAAATTGAATTAATCTTCCACATTGAGCAAAAGGCTTTTGATTTTTTTTTTCTTTCTCAGAAGGCTCTTTGAATCCTCAAAAATCTGCTCAATCAGTTCTTTTGGGGGGGTGCAAGGGAAGAAAAGAGGATAAAGCCGTACAGTATTTATAAATAGAAATCTATCTGCATGACATTGAATTTTGCCTTAAATAAACAAAACATTAGAACTTTATTTCATTGGCAGGTGAGAGGAGTTAATTTTGAAGCTGTTTTAAGAGTGGAAGAGGATGAAGCAGATACAAAAAGAAATATTTCAAAAAGGGAAGTGGAAGATGATTTGGGTTTAAGTATGCTTATTGATTCACAAAACAATCAGTACATTCTTACAAAGCCCAGAGACTCAACCATTCCACGTGCTGACCATCATTTTATAAAGGTAAGTTGCTGTAAATGGAACTGAAGAAAATAATTTAAGAATCTATGATTGTCTCTATATTTCTCTTTCAAAGATACAATACTAGAAAATTCAATAAAACAGAAAAAAACTGATTCAAACATGGCAAAAATTCTTGGTGCATCAAGAATTCTTGGTTAAGAAAGATGACTGAATTCATCTCATTACTGTCTTCATTGTTGTGCACTGTTATCTTAAAAGAAACTTAATTAGGCAAAGGAGCAATAAAATATTGTCTAAGTTCATAAAATGCTGATTTCTGGCTAGATATGGTAGAAAACAAGTATTCTGAACTTATTCTGTTTCTTTGAAAATCCAGGAATATTATTTATGTAAATTGCATTCTTAGTATATATAACTGCATATAATCATAATTCTCCTGGACTCATCTTGGTCACTTGGGAGGCATCATTCAGTAAGTATCCTGGATTTGCCTATCAAATACATTTGCAATAAGATATGGATGTACACTTGATGCATTTAAATATATGCTTGAATATATTTGTAACCCAGATATATACAGTATATTTTATTATATGTAACCTAATAATATATTTATTGGGTTACATATAATAAAACAGCTTTAGATACATGAGCTTTACTGTTAAATATATTATTAATGATCCCACTGGACATGAAATTTGAAGTATAGTACTAAATTGTACAAAGAAAATTCAAGAATGCTTATGTTTGCTTTAACAAAGGCAACACTTTGATTTTTAGTCTGTAGCTGCAAACAAAATGTTTACTTTTAAAGCAGGAAAATGTACTTTAAGTTCCCTTTGATGCTGGGGTTAGTGGACAGGTCCTTGTTTTCATAGAAATTTCTGTAGATGGTAGCGCTCCTTATCCGTATCTAAGAAAACCTTCCTCTCTGATATCACCCTTTGCTGATGATCTTGTCAGTGCTCTATTAAAACGTGAACAAGATGGGATCCACTTTGCCCAGCATTCACAGAAGAGGCACAGAAAGAGCAGAAGCTACTGAGCATTTCCTTAGTCAGAGGTGGTGTCAGTCAGTCCTTGGCTGAGCCCCTTCCAAGGTGTACATCTTTCTCATTTTGGAAAAGCTATCTCCAAATGAAGCAGATTTCTTCATGCAGAATAAAAAGATAATTTGTTTTCTTTGTTGTCCTGTATGATGAATCTGGTGGCATCAGGATGGTGCTTAAATTACAATGGAATCCCTTCAGATAAGCCTTGTCGCCTGATATCATCTGACCCACTGGGTAGTAGTAGAGAGCAAAGTCCTTTCCTTAAGCCAAATCCAGGCTTCCATCTTGTTCTCCGCCCCATCCAATTATCAGTGTATAAAAATGAATGTATTTGTGGAATACATTTTCTACCGCTGGTAAGAAAATGAAATACCAAACCCAATGTAATATGCTGCTCCTTAAATGTCATTGTGCCCATCTCAAAAGTGAAATGGAATAGGCTCTCAAAGCATTATCAACAAACAATTAGACCTAGATTAACTAGATCAGTTATAGGCTATGTCCAAAGAGAACTATTAGGTCAGGTGGGCTTTGTGTATTTTAAAATTTGAAATAAGCTTTCTATTTATATTGTAATAAATCACTCAGTATGATTAAAATGAGTGGGACATTTTCATTCATTCCAAAATCATTCAGATAGCTCTTCAAATAGTAAGAAACTATATCTTATGCTGAAGGTGCTGTAGATGCTTACTTTAGAACTTTGTTCCCCAGTCTTCATGTCTTCCAGATGTGGAAACTTCGATTCCCATAATTCTATTTAATTACCTTACTGGCTGAGGAGGTCTAGGAATTGAAATCCAGCTATCTGAAAGATGTCAAGTTTGGGGAAGATGGATTTAGATCCCATTAAGATTTTTCCTGCAAAGAAACACATCCAAGATTCACTCTTTCTCCCCCATTCCAAATAAAGTCTCAGGAATGACATATCACCAGAATGTAAAAAGTATAAAGGTGAATAATGATAAAGAGTTAGTGAATTACTTTGTTCCAGGATGGGTTGCATTGATTACGCTGGATCTTTTCAGCAGTGGTGTATTTTTATTTTAATCATTAGGATATTGTGACAATAGGAATGCTGTCTCTGCCTTGTGGTTGGCTGTGTACAACAATAGGATTGCCAACAATGTTTGGATACATTATTTGTGGAGTGCTTTTGGGACCATCAGGTTTAAACAGTATAAAGGTAAGAGTATATTTGGGGGATCATATCTGTTTCTAGCGTAAGTATCAGAATGCATTTTGAAAGGTATGTTTGTAAGAAATAAGCTACTGAGGAATTTAAATAGATTCTATGTAACAATATTTGAAAATAAATTTTTCTTATATTTCAAGGAATAAATAATACTTGAATTAGATTAAATTGAATATTTGATTAATAGGTATTATTATTTGAATATTAGGAATTAGCAATATCCCCCCTAAATCGAAAAAGATATTAGCTTCAAAAATGAATATATTTTCTATTTTTTTATTCCAGGAGAAGGGTTTTTAATGAAAAAAAATATTTTAATCACGATAATTTCAGTATGTGTATAAGAACTCTATATTAACAATATATTTTATTGAATATAATTTCTTTATTTAATTCCAGGGTATGTTATTCCATTTTAAAGAGTCTGTCCTGGTAATAATTGTTTAGTTTGCATCCTTTTTCCTCCATTTCTGATAAATAAGCATTAGCAAATAAGGTGTTTGGCCATTATATAGGGTTTTTAAAATTTATTATAGAATATATCAGATGCAAAGAAATGTGGCTACTGTGATTAGATTATTTCTTTTGTAGGAATTCAGTCCAGTTGAATATTTTAAGCAACTGTTAAGACTGTAGCATACTGAGTAGACTGCTTTTCAGTCAATTGTACAGGTGGAGACACTCGGAGAATTTGGTGTCTTCTTCACACTGTTCCTGGTTGGTCTGGAATTTTCCCCTGAAAGGCTAAGAAAGGTATTGTTCCATGAAATCTGTGTACAGTAGTATTATAAATTGCTTTTAAAAATGAACGCTAACACATCTGGAAGAGCATTAGGTTCATTTCCTCTGATACCTGGTTTTTGAAATGAAGGAATTGTTTTATATTAAGTGTCATATAAGCATATAAGTCATAATCTGAAGCCTACAGTGGTATAGCTAAACAGAGTCCTTCTCAAATTAATAAGAACCTAGTGAAAGAGAAAACTTAGACAATCAAAAGGTGAAAGAAAAAGTAGGTTGAATCTAAATAGAAAAATTTGCAAACAGAAGGGTATTTTCTATATATAGCAAGGATATGAGTTAAGTGGAAGTTCCCATTGTGCAGAGATGAGAACAGATTTGAAGCAGAATGGAAAGTGATGTTGGGAGGTTTTGTTTGTTTTTTTAAAAAGAAAAACTGGCAGAATTTCTCCTCATGTAGAGTCACCTTCCTCAACTGTAAATCACTGGGAGTTTTTATGGAAGTCTGACAATGTATAAACAACCAACGAACTTTATGCCCTCCAGATCTCAGTTCTGTAGATCTCAGTTCCCCAGACTTCTTCAGGCATGTGGTCATTGCTGAGAATTCTAGAAGTTATGTCCATACATCTAGAACCCATCAAGGTTGCTCATGAGGTTTGGATTGGACTTCACAAGCTTTAATCGTAGGCTGGGTATCATTTTTCAAGAAATACCACTGGTTAATAAAAGAACACATGTTTGTGTCATTTGTATTGTTAAGTGCACCTATACGCGGAGTATATAACAGCATGGCTGTTATTCTGAAATTTCAGGATCTGAATGCTGGAGCCAAATAGTATTTTGTGATAAAGATATCATGATGATAGTAATAATTAGAACACTTGAATACTGATTATTACCAAAATGGACTGCTATATTTAATGTTATGACTAGAAGGAAAGCTTCCTTAACATTGTAGCCTTATTTTTGGGGGGGAATAATAGATTTCTTTGTACCTTTGCATTAGCTTAAACATCTTCTTTGAGTTTCCACTGATACACAGATACACATATCTTGTATCATATTGAAGGGACAAAATATGTGTTGGATTTCATGCTGTTCAGTATTTTTAATGTCTACAAATATTGGCAACAAAAATAATTTTGAATGTCAAAAGAATTCTTGGCATCTTAAATAGTTGCCCATTTTTTATCTCATTAAGTTTTACTATTCAGTTGAAAGTAATATTGAAAAATGCTGAAACTCCATTCTATGTTACAATTATTCTCAAAGGTGTGGAAGATATCTTTGCAAGGACCTTGTTACATGACACTCCTGATGATTGCATTTGGCTTACTTTGGGGGCATTTGCTACAAATCAGAGCAACTCAGAGTGTTTTCATTGCTACTTGTTTATCATTATCAAGCACACCATTGGTATCTAGATTCCTTGCAGGGAGTGCTCGTGGAGATAAAGAAGGTAAGTGCAGTGCAGCTTTTGTATTAGCATACCTTGATGTAAACATAGGCACATATAAGAATGAAAAGAAGGGATGTAAATAGTATTTTTGAATTTTTTATTGCTGTATAAAAATGCCTTTTAATTGGCAGTTAACACTTAAGTGTTATGACAATTTTGAACATGGATGCTTTTAGTTATTTCAGTCACATATACTTCTCTAATCCAGTTTATCAGCTGATCACAGTTTATGTGAACAACACTTTGTTTTGATGGTTGGTGATGTCCAGTGTTTACCTTGCTCTGAATTATTGAGATCAGTAACCCTGGATTTTCAAGTAATAGCATGAGTTAATATGTATTACCTATATATGGTAGGAATATTTCTTGATGCTGCCGTTTGTACTAAAAATGTCACCATGTGTGGAATTCAAGCATTAAATTCTCAAGAAGTAGTGGGTTTCAGGCTTGATAATTTTGCAAATATATGATGTAAGTAGTCTTCATAAACTCAAGCTAATATAACAATCCATATAGTTTATATTTAATGATTCTTTGCTTTTCCTCTGGTATTGGCAAAAGGTTAAACTAATAATAAAACTAAATTGTAGGTCATAGATATGACTAAAGAAGGATTTTTCCCCTCTTCTGTAGTACTAAAACCTGGAATCATTCAGTTAAGGTGAATAATGAAAGATCTGATCCAATACAATCCTTATATTCACTGATTTTCTTCAAATGACTATACTTTATGTATTTTCCATGGGAAGAAATTGGAAACAGCTATACAGGTAGTCCTCGATTTACAACCATTCATTTAACAACCGTTTGAAGTTACAGTGACGCTGAAAAAAGTGACTTACGACCGGTCCTCACACTTATGACTGTTGCAGCATCCCTGTGGTCACGTGATCAAAATTCAGGTGCTTGTCAGCTGGCATGTATTTACGATGGTTGCAGCATCCTGGAGTCACGTGATTGCCATTTGCAACCTTCTGAGGGGGCTTCCCACAAGCAAAACTAATGGGGAAACCGGATTCACTTAACAACCGCAGCAAAAAAGTTGTAAAATTGGGTGTGACTCACTTAACGACTGCATCACTTAGCAATAGAAGTTCCAGTCCCAATTTTGGTTGTAAGTCAAGGACTGCCTGTCCTGAAGTAGTTCTATAGTCACCATCTATGTCTCTCATATCTGTGGTCAAGAATTTACCTCAATTTACTTTCAGAAGACTCAAGATCCTCCTATCCATCAGAGTATCTATTTTCATATATTTTGCAAAATTACATATAAGGCTTTTGCTTGGCACAGGAACCCCATGAAAGATTAGTTAGGTAGCATGAAAGAAGATACCTATCCTTTCTGCAGTGGCCAGCAGGCAACTTCCTTGCACTTTCACTTCCTGCACTGCTAGCATAAATGGTGGCAGAAAAGTAAGAGATGTTTTCTTTCCCTTTCTGTAGGAAAAGGGAAGACAAATCTTAAGGTGTGGCAGTGAAAAGAAAGGACTCACTCCTTATTTGTCATGGGTTTCTATCTTTGTTCTCACTTTATTCATCAGATGTCTTTGAGAAACTGTAGAAAAATATACAGCCTAGAATACTTGTAGGAAGCATTAACAGATTGCAGCATATAAAATAGCATAGAAATAGGACTCCACATGAATATCTGGGGAATGGAAGCAGGCATCTCCTTTTATAATATTTCTGCATCCTGAAAGGGACATATGTACCAGCATTTTAAATAAATAAAGTAAAAGGGGCTTTTAAATATGTACAGTATTTTTAAACTCAGCTTGCTTTGGGGGCAAGGAAGTAAAACGTCCTTGACTGATTGACTGACTGACTGACTGACTGACTGACTGACTGACTGACTGACTGACTGATTGATTGATTGATTTTTGGATTCTGAAAGTCACATATACTAGATACAGACATATACACATGTTTGGTTAAATTTTGAAAGTAGAAAATTCTCATTAGTGAAATGTTAAGTTTCATATTAAATGTTTCTTGCCTAACAGGTGATATTGATTACAGTAGTGTTCTGCTTGCAATGTTGGTGATGCAGGATGTACAGCTCGGTTTGTTCATAGCTGTCATGCCAACTTTTATTCAAGCTGGATTTGGCACACATTCCAGGTAATGAAGCTAATCTGTTACTTTGTTCATTACAAAGTACAGGGAGGCCCAGGGAAGGAGGGCTTGGGTGCATGCGTGCAAGTGCAGGGGGGTCCAGGGATGGAGGGCACGTCGCGGTGCACAGGAAGGCAGGGGTGAACTTACTAGAGCGACTTGCAACCCTCCCTGCCAGCTTCCCCACTGACTTTGCTTGTGGGAGGCCAGCAGGGAAGGACACAAATGGTGATCATGTGACCATGGGATGCTGCAACCATCGTAAGTATGAGCTGGTTGCCAAGCGCCCAAATTGCAATCACGTGACTGCAGGGGCACTGCAACAGCTGGAACTTCAAAGATTGGTTGTAAGTATCCCTTGTTCAGCACCATCGCAACTTCAAACAATCGATGAAAATTATTTTATTTATTATTATAAATAAAAATTATTTATGAAAACATAAAGACTTGGACATCACCAAATGCGTAACATCAGAATCAAATGGACTATAGAATAGGAAACAAACAAATAGTGCAATCCAGTCTGCTAGGACAGGTGTAGATTGTGAAACAGACAGTGTCTTATTCGTGTCTCATATAAGGGTTAAACTTAGAAAATTAAAGAGAGGAGGTATTCCAGCAAGATATGATTAACAGGGCATACTATCTTGTAAACAGGCAAGTTTCAGAAAAGTCAAAAGATCACAAGATCAGTTAGCTATCCTTGCACATTCTACCCATTCCACACCAAGACCTTGCTGAAGTCAATAAAGCAAAAGTAGTCCTCTCTCCATTCTCCATCTTATTTTTGCTTTATTGACTTCAGCAAGGTCTCGGTGTGGAATGGGTAGAAAGTGCAAGGATAACGGGTATGTCAGAACACCTAATCTTGATTTCTAGACTCAGATATTCAAGAGACCATTATGTAAACAAGCAGCTGTAAACATCCCCATTATCAATGAAGAAGCCTTCCTCCTCACCAGTTCATTAGACGGCTGTCATAAACAGAATAAAAAAGTCTGTCCCCTAATGTTCACAGGGATATATTGGTTCTAAATTGGAAATAGTTCAGTTGCTAAAGTTCTTGTAATCCCATCCATGTCAATAAATCTTGCTAAAATGAACTCTGAGAATTGCACTTGAAAAAGAATCACTTGGTTTAGGCAGCTGCCAAGACCCTGACAGAAGAGACAGCAACAGTAAGATTTGAAATTGAAAAAAAAATGGTTCAGAATGGGGAAGAGAGTGAGAGAAGAATGCATATTATCTCCATATTGTTTACCTCAGTGTTTCTCAACCTTGGCCACTTTAAGACGTGTGGACTTCAACTCCCAGAATTCCCCAGCCAGCCATGGTGGCTGGGGAATTCTGGGAGTTGAAGTCCACACGTCTTAAAGCAGCCAAGGTTGAGAAACACTGGTTTACCTTAATCAGTGGATGTATAAGAATGACAGGAGTGGAACAGATGGCACTTAAAACAAAACAGAAAGGCAAAATGCTAACAAGTTGAAAGATGCAGACAATATAATTTTATTAGCTGAAACTGAACTTAGAGGAGCTCATTATGAAAGTGAAAAATCTGGCTTAGTATTAAATGTTAAAAAGATAATGTCAATCCACATGCTTAGTGAATTTAATGCGGACTTTGAAAAAGTGAAGTTAGTACTCTTGTTTTCTTGGCCTCAAGAGGCAATGAAGAGGGATAGCGTGGAGAAGTAAAGAGGAGACTGCCTTCTTCCCTAAGGAGAATGGCAAACTTAGACAGAAATGATCAGGATATTTCAGTGACAACAAAGATCAGACTACTTTGCACAGCTTCATGTTGCACCTTTGCACAGTTTTGTGTTGTGCGCCAGTTGCACCCATTCCCGGATTGGGAAGCTCTGCTCATGGTCACTCATGCCCTGGTCACCACCTGGGTGCACTATTGTAACGCGCAGTACATGAGGCTGCCCTTGAAGAGTATCCAGAAGCTTCAGCTGGTGCAGAATGTGGTAGCACGGGCAGTTATGTGTATCCCTAGAATGGCACATGTTACACCTCTGCTCTCCAAGCTGATTGCCAGTTTGCTTCCTGGTCCATGGTGCTGGTTTCTGGTTTCATGGTGCTGGTTTTGACCTTTAAAGCCCTTCATGGCATGGGGCCAGGTTGTTTGAGGAACCATCTCTTCCTGATTACATCTGTCCATCCCATCAGATCCGGCAGAAGAGGTATGTTATGGGTCCCGCCTACTAAGGAGTTACATCTGGCGGGACCCAGGAGACCAGCCTTTTCTGCCATGGCACCTGCCCTGTGGAACATCATCCCCCTCAGGTGAGATTGGCCTCAGGGGGATGATGAAGAGTCACGTTCTGTGAGATGGACAGCCATATAAGTATGACTGATAAGTAAATAAATAAAGTAAGGCCTCTTGACTGATAATATTCAGCTGTGAAAACTGGATATTGAGAAAGAGTGAGAGAAATATAGACAGATGATGGAACTGGAGACAGCTACTGTGAATCCCGTGGACTTCAGAAAGAACCAATCACTCAGTACTGGACCAAATACAGATCCTTTGAGGAGATCATCAGCAAGCAGACACTCATAACATTTGGGCATGTGATAGAATTGTAGAATTAGAAGGGATCTCAGAGATTATTTTGTCTATTCTCCTACTCAATGCAGGATCCACTAGAGCTTGTCTGGCAGATGATGATCCTGCCTCTGCTTGAAGATCTCTAATGAAGTCATGGGACAGAATGTTTCTGTAACAGTCTGTTCCACTGGCTAATGGCCTATACAGTCAAAAAGTTCCTCCTGATGTCTAGTCTGAATGTCCTTCTTTGCAATTTTAAGACATTGGTTCTGGTCCTGCCTTCTGAAGCAATATGGAATAAGTCTATTTGTTCTTCTTTATGACAACAGATATTTGAAGATTGCTATCACAATCCCTGTATGTTTTCTGTAGGCGAAACATATCTAGATCCTTTTGCAGTATAGTACTCCAAATCAAGTCTGACAAGGACAGAATATAGTGGAACAATATTTTCCCAAACCTGGAGTTTATGCTTCGGTAAATGAATCCCAAGATAGTATTTGCCTTTTTAGCAACTGCATCTCTCTACTGGCTCTAGTTTGTAGTCACAAGGAGACCCGGATTCTTTGTACATATACTACTGCCAACCCAGGTCTTCCCAATGCTATACTTGTGCCTTACATATTTCTCCCATTCAGATGCAGAACTTTTACATTTCTCTCTGTTAAAATTCCATCCTATTCATTTCAGTCCATTGCTCCACTCTGTCAAGATCTTTTTTGAATCTTCTGTCTTTCATTTAAAGTATTAGGTACCCCTCTGAGATTTGTGTCATCTGCATAAAAATGTTGAACAGCACAGGACCCAGGATAGAGCCCTGTGGCATGTACTTAGTATTTCCCTCCAAGCTGAAGTGGAGCCCTTAATGAGAACTTTTGGGTATGGTCAACTATATTTGTCAACGTTAAGAGAAGTAGAAGGGAAGACAATAGTTGAGATAGATACATGTATCAACAGGATTACAGGACTGTCTCTGGAAAAGCTACAGGTTATTCCTGGAGACAGGAAGTTAGTAAGTATTTACATATGCAATTATTAAATGTCAAGCCCAACTTAGTGGCACTTATACATTCTTTGATAAAAGTACAAAATAAAACAGTTACATATTAAACACTCCTCCGAAATAAATGTTTTTCTTTTAGAGTAAAATTATAAAAAATATAATTTTTGATAATATATTTATAATAAGAAATAAATTGAATAGTTTAGGAACATGAGGTTAATACTGATTTTTTTTTCTTTTTCTAGCATTATCAAAGAAATACTAAGAATATTGATGCTGATTGGACAAATCCTCTTTTCCCTGGCTGCTGTCCTGCTTATATGTCTTGTTTTAAAGACTTACCTGATAGGACCCTTCTACCGCAAGTTGCATATGGAAAGCAAAGGAAATAAAGAAATTCTAGTTCTAGGAATATCTGCTTTTATGTTTCTTATGTTAATGGTAATTTTTACAAATATTTACATTTTTTGATATGCTCCTGATATAATAATTTATTACATTTGAAAACTTAAATAATTGTAGGTGAAAATGTAGCTTTCAGTGGTAGAAGCTAGATCTATAGGTTGACAAAATCTGTTGATAACCATTTGGCATCTAATAATTTCCAGTTTGATTATGTTAATACATCGTCTTACATATTTGTAAATAAATGCCAATTCTTACAAATTGGATCTGCTAATCAGACAATTGCCCATAAAGATGGCAATACCTACCTGATCTTGAAAAGCAAGGGCTGAACCTGGTTAGTATTTAGATGGGAAACCACCAGAAAATAACAAGGCTGCAGGGTAGACTGAAAAGTCAAAACATTCTAGAAGACCATGGCAAACAACTTTCTAACACCACCAATAAAATTATATGGACATGTCTGTGAAGTTACCAGGAGTTAAGCTTGCCTAGGAGGACACCTTACCTTTTTAATGAGACAATTAACTATTTATGAATTTGCCGGAGCATTTGACCAGCCCTACCTCCCCGATGTGTGCCCACTGTTTAACATTTGTATAGTTAGCTAATAGAATGATCAGATCTCCAGCTATACAGTTGGCATGTCCACTCATATAACTGGCTTGGCATTTAGCAAGCTTGACATTTATTTATATCCTAACATCTAAGTTTACATCAAAATAATCTCTGGTGAAGTCAGTATACTTTAGTGAAGAACAACATCTACAAGTAAAGTTGCAATATTTATTTAGATTAATGAAACCTGAAACCCATGTATGCATAGTGTGTCCTCTCCCTCCTTCCTTGATTTCACTGTTGGCTATGAAGAGAGGGGCTTGAAGAAATAGCAAATCATAGGGCTTAATAATCCAATTATGATATAGTCATATGGAAAATGAAGCAGTTGTAATCACAATGGTAATATATCACTTCCAGGATCAGAGACAGTAAACCCTGAATAGCAGTTGAAGAGGAAAAACAGCCAGAGAGGATACTATATCCCTATGCTCTTTGCAGGAATTCCCTATCTGACCTGTCACTTTAGGAAGTGGATATTACACCCTGAACTTAAACTGAAGGTTAGGACTCTGAGTCCATAAGGTTTTGCATGACTCATTGTCATGTATTGAAATTATATTTCCCATAGATTTACAATCATGTAATTATGTATAGAATGTGCATTCCAATCATATAATCATCTATTGGGTTATGTGCAACATTTTCCTTGTTACATATAACCCCTTGAGGATTATATGATTGGAAGTGTACATTAAATGCACATTGTCTCTGTGAAAATAAATTAACATTCAGATTAGTCTTATGTATTTCCATCTTCCTAACAGATCACAGAGTTATTGGATGTTTCAATGGAATTGGGATGTTTCTTGGCAGGAGCGCTTATTTCTTCTCAGGGTCACATGGTTACTGAGGAGGTCATATCCTGTATTGAACCAATACGTGACTTTCTTGCTATCATATTCTTTGCATCTATAGGTAATTTATTACAGAATCATATATAAATGAAATTTAATTTTAACATGTTTTATAAGCATGGGGAACATAATACAAAGTTTCTAAATCTAGGAAAATTTCTGATGTGCTTCTGGAATTAGAAATGGCTCAGGTGGAGGAGACATGATGACAGAAACTGATAATAAAAGTATATGGACTACTTATTGCAATATTCAGTTTCCAAAGTGTTTTTTGAAACAAGTTTTCTTTTAAATGTAAACAATGGACTTAGAGGGTAAACGGTACCAGTCTCCACTACATCTGTGCTCTTTTCTGTCTTCTTCAGACACCTGTTGGAACCATGTTGATACCTTCCTGATATTTTCTAAATTATACTTTAAACAATTATCCAAACTAAACAATATTAAAACAGAAAACGACTTAAAACCAGGCAGTCAGAAATGTGATTATCAGCTAGCTAGGACAATCTTGCCAAAAAAGCTCCAGCAGAAAAAAAAAATCAGTAACAGACAGTAATTATGAACATGCCCTACAAGGATTAGAGATAAGGGCATTTTCAGAAAATTTTTCCTCCACAATGTCATACCTCAGACATCAGTATACAAATATTGATTGCTGCTTTGATTTTTAATACATTGGCTTTCAAAATTTTGGAATTTGAAGATCATATTTTTTTATTTCAGACTTGGAAAAAATGCCTGATCAAACTTTCAGGAAAAGTAATGAGAAGTATTCCTTTTATTTTTCTTTTGCAGGTCTTCATGTATTTCCCACGTTTGTAATATATGAACTCACAGTCTTGCTGTTTCTTACACTCTCAGTGGTAATAATGAAGGTATTTATATTTTCTAATAATGACTGGATGTTAAATGTAGATTTATACTGTGTATGATGATTTAATAACTGCTTCCCCCCAAAAAATCATGCCATACATATTAAGTGTAGTAGACAACTGGCATGAATAGCCAAACTTACTAGTATATACAAGTCTCCTGTGGATGTCTTTTCAGAAATCCTTGAAAAAAATGGGGGGCTGGGGTGTTACTTATACAGTTTAATAGATTCTGTTTTTCACTTATGCTAAGTTAATTTGACATTATTAAAGTATCAGTTGTGGGCACCACTAATGCTTTTTCCAAGACACCAACGTCCAGGATTGTGTTTTATCTCATTTAGTAGGTGCTGAATGCCTGGCATCAGCTACAAGATAGATGTAATGAGTGCATTGTTTTGCTCTTTCTTTCTCTAGCATGTCTCAATACAGTCAAAAGTATGAGATTATTGAGAGTTGTAACACATAAGCAGATTGGCTGTTTTTTTAATTTTATGGGTATTTGAGTAATTTTTTGGCCAGCCCTTTTTTTTTTAGCTGTAAACGCATAGCTTAAATCCCTTGTCTCTTGAAGCTGGTAACTAATGGTTCCATCCATATGTTTTGCAAGTAGCATTAAAAAAAAATGTCCCTAGAGTCTGAGATGTCAATAGGGAAACTTGATTTGTGCAGGCTAAACTTCAGGAAGCTGTGTCTGTCTGATTTTAATCCATTTTACCATCCCACTACTGTAGTTCCATGTATCACATTCCAGGACTTTGTTCAAGGTTGGTCTCTCTCTCCCCCTCCCTCCCTCCTTCCTTCCATCCGGAGATAGGAAGCTACAGCAGGGAGGAAAGGGCAGAGAAGCCTTATTGTAGGAGCAGGCAGATACAACTGCAGACATTAAAAATATACTGATTCTACAAAAGACATTGGAGGGGGGGGTGTCAAGGTGGTATTTGTGGCAATACAATCAAATCAGTACCTCTTTTTGATATGTGTCAACACACGTAAAAAAGGAATGGGGCTTGGATCATCAGTTACAGACACCTTGACTTTTTTTAACCCTCCCCCCAGGATGTCCCTGGAATTATGTCTATCTTGAATTATGTTCTATCATTGAACTCTTCAGATCACTTTCCACTGAATTCCATTTTTTTTTAAAGATAAGTTTGTTTGTTCCACTGTTTTTCTAAAAACAGTCTCTCTCAAAGTTTTTCCTGGCAGTACTTGTCCTTTCTATGATTCTTCCAAAGAACAGCCAGTATATCAAATGGATTGTATCAGCAGGCTTGGCTCAAGTCAGTGAGTTTTCCTTTGTCCTGGGAAGTAGAGCACGCAGAGCGGGTATAATTTCTCGAGAGGTAAGCTATGATGGGTAGTTTCTTTCACATTTTGAAGGATGTAATAAAATTCTATACTAAAATGCTAGACTAGACATTATATACAGTTTTGTGTAGTTTCTTCTGTCACTTTATTTTCCTTTAAGGAACAGAAGCGACAGAGAAAGGACAGTTGCTTAACCCTTTTTCTTTGAACCGGTTTCCACTAAAAATATCCTCCGCAAAAGATTGGATCCAAAAAAATGGGAAGAAATGTATCATAAAAGCTCCTTGTGGGAAGGGAAAGTCTTAAGTAAGCTTATACTCCCCTCATGGCAGTTTGCAACTTCTCAGGGCAGTGTCTGATTTTTCTACAAAAGTTTAACCTTTCAAATTTATTTGTTTCCCTTGTCACATATATGTTCAGTATTCTCAAAGCTAGCACACATCAGCTTCCAACTTTTTCTTTTAATACTGAGCAGTGTATTGAGAAATAATAAAACTGTCAGCAAAGTATTAGAAGCAGACTTTAATTTCTATAAATAAAAATCTTGCAGTTGGGGAAAGTGGTGGTGGGGGATTGCACTTCCATAGATGGGGAGGCACTGAGCAATTTTTATCTTCCCACTACATTCCATGGACCTCTATTAACATTGTTCCAGAGGGTGTAAGGTATTCAGGGGGAATACGTGAAAGCTGCCTCTATCTTTTCCACTGGCATGAGCCAATAAAAAGGAGCAAAAATCATGTGTGGTTTCTTAGTGTGGCTTAGTTTTCATTGTCTTATTCCAAGCTCTGTGACAGGAACGTCATCTTTAATATTCTTAAGTGTCAGATGGTGATACATCAATGCCTGCTTATGTATCATAACATAGCAGGCTTTGGGTGTTACTCTGCATAGAGCAGGCATCAGTTGTGCAATATAGATTAGTAGATATGGTAGGGGCAGGCGGGTTGAATGCTGTTCCTTAGCTATTCTCATGACATAGCATCAACAGCTACTTAAACTATCTGGGATTGGAATCTTAAAGCCTTAAAACCATGAATGCTGGTAAGATAGGACTACTGACATTTTAAGGATCTGAAGTCTATAAGCAGGCTGGAAAATTAAGTGATATGAATACACCCTGAAAGCTAATATCTAAGTAGTGGAGCAGTTCTGGAGTCTTTGAATAAAAATGGAGAACATTATTGGGCTAACAGCAGATTAAGATCGTCTGGTCCAGTAGACCATATGTGCCTGAGTAAATGGGGGCAAAGAGTGTTGTACTCAGTATAACTGTGGGGAGGCTAGGAAAGGAATGGGACAGAGATCAGTCCATTCAAATAATAGAAATGTAATATAGAAAACAGCAGTTTCTCATTGTGTCCCTCTCCCCTGTCAGCAAGTCAGGATGCATGCTGACTTCTCCTTCTATCTTGTGGTGGTTAGTCATTGCCAGGTCAGCCCAGAATAAGAAATACTCATTCATAATTTGATCCTGGATAAAGAGCTGACATGATTTGCATCACTGAGATCTTGCTGGGAGGGTGTGGGCAGGTGCTTTGTGCAGCATCAGACAAGCTAAGAGGAGGGAGATGTTATAGTAATCTATTGGAATTCTATCTGTCTCATGTGGAAACCAGTTCTTCTGGGAACTACTGGGACAGTTTGTATCTGGGGATAACAGAAATAGAACAGGGATCTTGTTGGCATGACATTCACCTTGTCCTCCAAAGTATTCCTTGACTAAGTTGGCAGAACTTGTGATCCAATATTTCTTATACATATAAAGACATTTATGTCTTGTTGGGTCATTTCTAAATAAAAGCATTTCAAGTGTGGTGAAACCTCATCTTACCAGACTAATTGGGGCAGATTTGTGTTTGCGCCTTCAAGTCAGTTTTTGACTCCTGGCGACTGCCTGTACTAGTCCCTGCAGTTTTCTTGGCAAAGTTTTTTGGAAGTGGTTTGCTACTGCCTCCTTCCTAAGGCTGAGGGAGAGTGACTGGCCCAAGGTCACTCATCTGGTGGGACTAGAACTCACAGTCTCCTGGTTTCTAGCTTGGTGCCTTAACCACTACACCAATCTGGCTCTCATTGGGGCAGGGGCTGTTCATTATTCACAAATGTCCATTAAATATGAAAGTGTGTAATTGCAGCAATTTGCATCATGTGATGACATCATGATGCAAATGTCATTTGTGTCAATTTACAACATATATGACTCAAATGACGCCATTTGCATTATTAAGCAAATGTCATGTTGCTATCAAAATTTGGTCTGTTGCATGTGAAATCTATTTACTAAGGTCTCCTAAATGTAGATTATACTATACACAGGTGACATTTGACATTTGTTATAGAATGGATAACATTACAGTCAATGGCACTTGTTTTGGAGCTACATCTTTATGATTTGATTATGTTTTTATTTTCAAAACAACCCTTTCTATCATTTGATTCTATATAAAAATTATACTAAAGGGGAAGGATGGTTTGGTGTTCGTGTTCATTTAGCATTTTTGTACATGACTTCCATTAGAGAAATTAAAGCCATGCATTTAAAATACCCCAAAACATGCCAAAGCCTAAATGGTGATAGTTTTCAAAATATAGCTTATGTTTATTGTAAGTGGAGATCATAATTATGGTAAAAAAAAATCACTTTGCATGCAAATATTAGCAAGGCTGGGGGGAAAAAATTCCAAGACAGTGAAAAGCAACTGTCAGTCAAAGTAAAAAAATACAGGGACTAGCAATGATTTATTTTGAAAGACAGACTCATTGTTTTTAATTTCAGAGTAAGAATACTATGATATCAGTGCAATAGGATAGTAAAATATGCATATTAGAATTGTAACAGATAGTTTAAATGTCAAAATCAGCTATAGACCCTCTGACTCACATGTAAGTATTCAAGCTGAACAGGTTATCCAGCTGTAGCACAAAAAATGTTATTTTTAGCAATGTCAGTTATGTTAAGCTTAAGCACTTATTATGTGCTCCTGACTTTTAAGTAAAAATGTAGATAACATTTTATTTGCCAATTTCTAGGTCTACCTTCTTATATTGAGTGTGACTACTCTAAGTCTATTGCTTGCACCAGCACTATGGAGAGCTGCAATTATGAAATGCGTACCAAGACCTGAAAGACGATTATGTTCCTGAAAATCTTTTGTTTACATGCTTTAGTGAAGGAAGCCTCTCTACATAATACATTTCATATGTTATGTTATTTAGCTTACTATAAGCCTTACACTGGTTTCAGTTAATGAAACAAAAATGTAACATTTTTCATAATACATTCTGATTTTTAGAGTACTGAATATCTGTTAGATTTTTCCAAAATTTGGTTTATTTTTTAAAAAGTCCATGAATCCAGTAATTAATGTGCCTTTTTAAGGATTATTTTCCAGTCCATGCAGCAAATGAACAATTATAGTGCCTGTGGTACTGTTAAAAAACAACCACCCAATTAGTATCTGGTCAAACATTGGTCACAAAAGTTTTTTTTCAAAGCAATATAATTTTTACATTCAAATATAGGATTTAAAACTGCTCTGAGAACTGAAAGTTATGTTCCTGAGAATAATATCTCACCTCATTGCTTTTAAAATCAATTATCTGTAATAATTATTTACCTTTATCACGATTTGGGGTCTGAACATATGATTAATAGTGATCAGAATAACTTCTAGTATGATGACCAAGGTCTTTTTGTACTGATGTTAACTCTTAATTAAAAGTATTCTTGGAGGATACTTAAGTTTGTAATTTCATTTATTGGATATATAGCAGAATTAGAATTTGCTGTCATGTTGAACCAGCCTTTGAATCTAATAAATGATTCACTACTACACATTTTCTTAAAATGAAAAAAATCCTTAAATTATATTGCTCCTTATAATACTGTAGGGTTACTGGAAATGAATGCACTGGTTATTCTCTCAACCTCAGCTACATTTTTAAAAACTGGCAACCTAAGTAAGAATTGGTAATTCTGCACATTCTTCACTGTAAGGGTTTGTTATTTATTAAAACTAAAAATCTAGATTCAATATAGATTTTTTAAAATTACAGAAAATATACTGAATTGGAAAGTTGTAAACTGAAATATGTATTATTTCTGGACACGTTTTTCAAAGGCTTTTCTTTAACATTGGAAGTGGAAAACTTGGAGAATACAGGTAATCCTTGTTTAGCAATCACAATTGGGACCAACAATTCAGTCATTAAGTGAAGCAGTTGCTAAGTGAAACTGTGACTGTGTTTATGATCTTACTCAGCTTTCCTTTGCTTTACACACTGGCAAAGGTTGTAAATGTGAGGATTGGTTATAAAGTTATTTTTCATCACTATTGTAACTGTGAACTGCCACTAAACAAGGACTACCTGTATTATCTTTTCTCTAACTTAAGACATAAACAGAACATTTGTGTTGTAATATTTCTATTCAAGAATTCAGTGGTTGACATGCATAGGAGTGTAGCTAAGTCAAATACTCTTCTATTTAAGATATTAATAAATATTTTTGCATGCTTTTCTGATTTTGGAAGAAGAAAGTTTAATTGATTTAAAAGTATGTAACATTCTCAACACAGGTTCAGTTAGTACAAAGAAACTGCCTTTAATATGAGCTGGTAGGGCAGGGACTTAATTAAGCAGTGGCTGTTCATCGATCTTCCTTTGGTTGAACTTTTACTAAATCATGCCCTTTCTAAAGAAATGTGCTCAGGTTGATTATGTGAATAGATAGATGAGGAGATTTTAACAGGCAAAATGTTAATTCAAAAGCCACAATCCTCTGACCACCATTTAATATGTAAGGCATATTAAGCAGGGAATATTTCAGATACCAATAGAAGAGAATATATGTAGCTCAGGATTGAACTGTGGAGTCATTGGGGTTCTCTGAGCTTGGTTGTTTTCTTGCAGACGTTTCATTACCTGGCTAGGTAACATCTTCAGGGCTAGATACTACAATACAGTAGCTTGTCCTGTCAGTGTTGGTGGGGGTGTTGTTTCCTCCTTGGTAGTTCCTTAATTAGGCTGTTGTTTGCTGCTTGTCTGTCTGAGTTGGTAGTTCCTTGATTAGGGTATTGTTTACTGCTTGATTGTCTGGTGTTAATCCTGGTGTTAATCCCCGCTTATCTGGGCATTAATTGCTGGCGACGAGGTGTTCTGGTCTTTTTGTTTCCTTTTTATTGTCTCTTTTGAATAGTGTGTAAATGTGGTTTATTTCTATGTGTCTGTATGTCTGAATACCAAGCTTCCAGGAATTCCCTCACGTTTTGGATTTAGCTTGGTCTAAGATGCTGACAGTATCCCAGTTGAAAGTATGGTTAAGTCTGTCCATATGTTGTGAGATTAAGGAGT